GAGAGAGGTGTAAAATTGATACAAGACTTTTAGGCAAAGGGTGTTAAAGTAGTTGAAAACCACAGAAAGTGTTTTACCGATTTCAGAAAAGCAACTTTGAACAATCGTTAAACAAACTTTTACTAATGTAGTTACTTTTTTTAATTAAATAAATTTGTAATAGCTTTGTGAATTTCTTTTATTCAAGTGTATAATAATTTAGAAAATGTGTTGTTGTTTTTTTAATAAGAGTAATTTTGATAGTTAATCAATATAAGAAATACCAATAATACTATATATGAGAAATATCAATAATCATAAAAAATTTGTTGCAAAGCTGAAACTGCTGAATCCGAAATGATGATCCTTGGGTGCAATTAAGTGCTCCTGGAAAGACTCTTTCGGTGGTATGGGTGGAAGCAAGCTTGTTAGTAACCTCCACGTGGTTGCAACTGGACAATGGAGGCAACCTCTAGCGAATATTAACAAGTGAAACGTGGGCAAGAGATGGACGAAAGAACAATCCATTTGCACCAAGGACACCCACAGTCTGAGCCAATAAATTAGTATCTGTCTAGCTTAAAGTCCCCTTGCCTACAATAAATTAGTATATGTCTAGCTTAAAGTCCCCTTGACATATTTGGCTATTCTCATACAATAGGTAGTCAGGATGAAAAGTAAAGTGCCTCAAAGTAAAATGAGTTTCTAAGTCAAGTCGCATGGTGCCATACTCATCAAGTTCACGTAAATGGTGGCTCTCCTTATTTGGACTCGCAACCTTTGGCTTGTGGTCCTGCGAGAGTCACTGGGCTTTGATGAGAAATATAAGTTAGTGTCTGCTCCTTTACTCCGATACTAGTCCCATTGACACGCCAAAAACATCATTGAGGTAAATGCTGCAAGATCTTCCTCAGCTGCTTAAGGTTATGTCAGTGTTTGCTAATATACCATTTGCTGGGATTGCTGAGGGAAACTTTATGCCCAGCGTTCGGTGTATGTTTTTATGACTTCGTCAACACATGCCCATATCAAGGAGCTCTTTTTAAGTTTTTGGGTTGTGCAGGTATTAACACCCATATATATATATATATATATATATATATATATATATATATATATATATATATATATATATATATATATATATATATATATATAACAGATTCTATCTGTTGACCAGCCTCGCACCCCTTCTTCATCTATTAGGCTGGTGCAGATGTATTTTTAATACATTGTTTCCAGTTTAGGATGTTGAACGCTGGATCTTCTTGACTCAATTCATGGGTTTTGCTTATGTCTCTGTTTTTATGACTAGGCAACTCTTTCTATTATCTCCAAATGAGGGTACAGCTCTAAAACTCGGTTTTATGGTTCTGAGGCCGGCTGGTAGTCAGGTTTCCTGAACTCTGTGGTAGCTCTCAGAGAGGCTGATTCCATCAACAGCTGAAAAATATCAGAGTACTAACAGTGCCATGTTGCGCATGGATGGTGTCCCTGTTTGTACTTTTGGTGTGCATTGCCAAGGCCACATTGGAGCCTTTTGTTACGGCTTAGGGTTTATTAGTGGAAATAAGGCAATTGCTTGGACTATAAGACAGTGTACTGAGTACTATCTATGTTTCGAGTCAAGTTCTTTAACAAATTTAAAAATGAATAAAGTAACAAAAACTTTAAAACACAAAAAACCACAGTCATCACCAAGTTCGCTAAACCTATCATTCACCAATATTCGTGGTCTTCGAAGTAACTTTTCTTCTGTTGAGTCTTATCTCTTGCAAAGTTCACCAGACCTACTTGCTCTTTGTGAGACTAATTTGAGTTCAGCTGTCTCATCTTGTGATCTTAGTGTTGATGGTTATCTTCCTTTAATTCGTAAAGACTCCAATAGTCACATGCTTGGCCTGGGTATTTACATTCGTAAGAATTCACCCATTTGTCAGGAAACTAGGTTTGAATCCACAGATTACTCTTTTATGTGCTTTCATTTAGCACCATTTCACTCTATCACCTTTCTCTTTGTTCTATATCGCTCTCCCTCACCTCAAGACTGCACTCTTCTTGATGTTATTTCTGAATATATTGACCAAGCCCTCATTCTTTATCCATCAGCCAATATTATTGTTGTGGGTGACTTTAATGTTCATCACACTGAATAGCTTGGCTCTAGTGTCAGTGACTCTGCAGGCATTAAGGCCCACAACTTTTGTCTTTCTCAATCCCTAACTCAAATAGAGCAACTTTCCAACTCGCTTTCCAGACAACCCGAATCATTTACCTTCTCTACTTGACTTATGTCTTGTTTCTGATCCTAGTCAGTGCTCAGTTTCTTCACACTCACCTTTAGGTGCTTCTGATCATGGTTTGGTCTCTCTAAAACTATTATCTCATTCTTCTTTACCATCAGAATTCCCCTATCATCGTACATCTTACAACTACCTTGAAGCTGACTGGGACTCTTTCTGTGATTTTCTTCGTGATGGCCCCTGGGTAGAAATCTTTCGTCTCCCTGTTGACAAATGTGCTTCTTACATAACTTCGTGGATTCAGGCTGGCATGGAATCCTTTATTCCCTCTCAACGATTCCAGGTCAAGCCTCACTCTTCTCCATGGTTTTCCTCACATTGTGCTGCTGCAATTGCTAATCGAAACCATTACTTCCATATCTATCAGCAAAACAATTCTCAAGAAAACTTACGTCTGTTTATTACTGCTAGGAACCATTGTAAAAAGGTTTTGTCTAACGCCAAAGCCCACTATTTTCAGATCATGAAATCTCGTACTTCATCACAAAAATTAGGCTCTCGTGACATCTGGAGAATCTTTAATAGTGTCAATAATAAGGGCAAGTCTGTAATTCCACCTCTTTTGTATGGTTCAGACTTTGTCACCTCACCTAAAGACAAAGCTGAATTGTTTGCCAAGAACTTTTAATCAATATCATCTCTTGATGCCACTAGTTGCATTCTACCGGATATAGCCGTCAAACAGGTTGATCCATTGCTTGACATTCGTATCACTCCAGCTTCTGTATCTAAAGTGATTTCTCGCTTAGAGTCTTCTACAGCTTGCGGCCCAAACAACATACCTGTTATAGTCTTGCAGAAGTGTTTTCTGGAGCTGTTGTCTATTCTTTCAAAACTATTTAACAAGTGCTTATCAGAGTCTTGTCTTCCAGCCTGCTGGAAAGCAGCATCCGTTATCCCTATTTTTAAAAATTCTGGAGAGCGATCCGATTCGTCTAACTACCGTCCCATTAGTCTTCTTCCTATCATAAGCAAGGTTTTTGAATCTTTAATTAACAAACACTTAATCTCGAATCTCAAATCTCATAACCTACTTTCTGATCATCAATATGGATTTCGATCTTCTCGTTCTACGGCTGATTTGCTATCAGTAATAACCGATAGGTTTTATCGCACATTAGATAAAGGTGGAGAGGTTAAGGCTTGCTCTTGACATTTCTAAAGCGTTTGATAAAGTTTGGCATGCTGGTCTTCTCCATAAGCTTTCTTCTTACGGTGTATCTGGAAACATCTTTAAGATTATTGAATCCTTCCTTTCCAATCGTAGTATAAAAGTTGTCCTCGATGGACAGCACTTTTGTTCTTATTCTGTAACCTCAGGGGTTCCTCAAAGTTCAATCCTTGGCCCTATACTCTTTTTAATTTACATTAACGATCTTCCAGATATTCTCACATCTAAGGTGGCATTGTTCGCTGATGATACTACCATTTATTCTTGTCACAATAAGAAGCCAACTCCCTCTGATTGCTTGCAGGAGGCATCTGAGCTTGAAAAGGATCTCACTTCTGCTATAGCATGGGGCTCACAGTGGCTGGTGAACTTTGATTCAGATAAAACTCAATTTTTTTTGGCCAATTGTTATCGCAATAGTTTAGACCTTCCTATATTTATGAACGGTGAGTCTCCTAACCTTCATCTTCTAGGATTAACTCTTACTTCTGATCTTTCTTGGAAACCTTATATCAAATCCTTTGCAAAATTAGCATCTGCTAAAGTTGCTTCTCTTTATCAAGCTCGTCACTTTCTTTCTCTGGATTCTATTCTCTATCTCTTTAAATCTCAAATCCGGCCTTGTATGGAATACTTTTGCTATATCTGGGGCGGATTTTCTAATGATGCCCTTTCTCTTTTAGACAAGGTGCAAAAATAAATTGTAAAATTAGTTGGACCTGCTCTTGCAGCCAACCTTCAACCTCTGTCACATCGTTGTAATGTTGCTTCTCTTTCTCTTTTCTACAAATACTATAATGGACACTGCTCTAAAGAGCTAGCGTCTCTTGTGCCATCTACAAAAATTCATTCTCGTGTTACTCGTCATTCAATTAAGTCTCATCCTTTTTCTGTTACTGTTCCTAAGTGCTCCAAAAACTCTTATTCATCTAGTTTTTTTCTGATTCATATAATTTGCATCTTTTAAGTTGTCTGTCAATCATTATCTTGCTCTACAATCTTCATCTTTTCTCTTCCAGTAACTTCCAACACTTATTAGTGGTTGCTTGCAGCCTTGTTGGAAGCGAAGATAATTAAAAATATATACATATATATATATATAAATATATATATATCGTTGCTGCAATACAAAACTATCTTAAGTCCATTTTTGGCAAAACGACCTTTTTGGTTTAAAATACTCTTTAGGTGCACAAAAGTCATTTCACAAAGTATGGAATTAAAATTGATTCAACTAAACTATTATTATTTTCTAATCAATTTTAAAACATTTTTTTGTGCAACTAGACACATTGTATTTTATCTGTATACTGTTTAATATTTCAAATATTAATTTTAACAGATTCAAATAATTATTTTAAACAAAATAAAACATAAAAAAATCTTTTACTCTGATTTTTGTAAGTCTGTAGATTATAAAAAAAATTTGTTTAAAGATAATTTTTATTATATATATAAAGAAACATTAAGAATATATAATTTAATTTAATTATATTTTATTAAGAAACATTAAGAACAATGACAACCAAAATAAAACAAAAAACAACCTGTTTACTTCTTCTACTGAGAAAAAAAGAACTCAATGTACTACTTCTAGATATTTTAAAGCTATCTTTTCCGCTTTTGCAACAAAAAAATTCATACCAAGCTTTCCGAACCTAACATAAAAAATTATTATAATAGAATTTTATTCGTAATAAAAATTTATCAAAAATTAAGTAAATAAAGTTCAATTCCATGCTTCAATTATTAAGTATAAATGTAAAAAACTAAAAACTTACTATAAAAATTAAATTAAATTTAAATTAAGTTTTTATTTTAAAAAATAAAAATTAATTTTTTCAATAAGAAAATTTACCCTAAATCAAATACTCAAAAGAATAAGAAAATTTACCATAACACCAAATACACAGTGGAATAAGAAAATTTCCTCTAACATCAAATACAGAGTGAAATAAAAAAATAAAAATTTACCCTAACATCAAATACACAGTGGAATAGGAAAATAAAGCACCCTTGTAAACTGTTCACTACCATAAACATATAGCCAAAGAAAACAGACTTTGAATTTATGTAAAAGATTCCAATAACCCAAGTGATACCAAGGAAACATAACAGTAAACACGAAGTTTTTATCCAATACCTGCAATATTTAAAAAATATATATAAATAGGAAATAAAAATAAATCAAAAATTATGTACTAAAGTAAAAAATAAATTACATGTATGAAAAAATAAAATTTAACAAATTAAAACAATTATCCACTTAATACCACAATTTTGCAACATCTGAAGAACGCTTTTTTGCTTTTTTTGATACAACTCGTAAAGAGATAAAGAAGATGAAGATATTTATCTGAAAATAAAAATTTGAACACGTTTAAAAATAATGTAAAAATAAAAATGTAAATATTTTTGAATATTTTAAAAACAAAAAAAATTTTAACAGCACATAACACTTTTTAAAAACAAGTTTTAAACTATTTAAGTAAATAAATTTAAAAATAAATAAAATATATAAATAAAATCAATACGACAAATTCAAAGAAAATACTTTTTTAAATTTTTATTTTCATGCTCATTTCCTTTTGCACTTAGATTTAACTAGATATGAATTTAAAATGGAAACCTTAATTGATTCCCTATTTTTTCAATGAGAATTTTGTAGCCGTTGTTGCACAATGTGACATAAAAGTCATTATACTTGCTGTTGTTGTTATTAATTGACTGTTAGATGACTAGAAACCTTGATATGCTTTTCTGCCTCGCAATATTCATGTTTGTTTCAACGCTGATGTTTGTCAAACAACACTTAGTTGCACGGACTAAATGTGACCAAACAAGCTTTTGAATGTCTTGTGAACTTTTTAAAAGTATTTCTAACTTGGTTGCAGGGTTTGGGTCAAACATGTATTGATAACAATATGATATACTGTTGTACTTGTATTGTATTAGATGATTTTTGTTTTTAATAATTATATTTTTATTTGATTTAAACGTATTTATAGTTTCATAAACTAGGTAACAGTTTTTTTTTGAGGAAAAACCTAGAAATTTTTGTTGTTGTATTCTACCTCATTTTTAACACTAAAATAATTTAATAGTAAATTAATAACAGTTTAATAACTTATTTTTAAATGAAAAGATCTGTTTTAATTATTCTATTTACATTTTATTAGTACAGTCTTACAAGTTTTTTATTTTAAATTAATTCTTAAAACTTTTCAAAGTTAAAATTTTTTTTAATATGTTAAATATTAAAATTCTTTTTTTTTAAAAATTTTTTTTTAATATCTAACATATTAAAAAAGGAAAAATTCAAGCATTAAAATATCCTTTAACAATAATAACAATACCTAATTTTATTGACGTCAAAGTTAAACCCTTTAATCAAACCAATTTCTTAAAAAAAAAAAAAATCAATAAGCCGGAACTTTCCCTTAGGAAAAACAATATGGCATTAAAAATATATTTTTTTTGTTAATACCTCAATAAACAACTTGTCTCAGCACTTTGATATCTCTTTAAAATTAAGAACTTATTATTTAATGAACAAAAATAAGTAAAGATTGAAGTATTAACGTTAATTGTTAATAATTAAACTTAGATTAAGTTTAAATGCTTTTTTAAAGGTTAAGAAAAATAAAATGTTAATATTGTAATTTTTTCTTAACCTAAAACAAATTTGTTTTTGTATTTGAAGAATGCTGATCACGTAAACTTGTATTTTTTAAATGTAATTTACCCTAACTTATTAGATGGTCATAGAGAAAACACGTAAATCCCCTAGACCTTCTTAATACAAATAGGCATTGATCTAAGTTTAGGCATTGTGTTAATCTTGGACTTTTCATAAAGAAATTTTATAAGCTTTTTGCATCTTTTATATTATCCTAATAATTAGAATAAAAAAAGTTTTATTCTAATTCAAAAAAAATCTTAAACTTTTTAAGGGCGAAACTCCCATATGTTTCAATTTATACTAGTGCCATTATTAAATTGATTACTCACAAAAAAATAAACATATTTTTGCATCGTCATCAGTTATTTCCTTCCCTATACACACTGGCCCTCAACAAATCCAAGATCAATAAAAATGTCAACAAAAACTGTTTGCATATCCTTTTAGAGCTTTTTTTGTAGATCACAAATCTGTTGAAATTAAAATCCTAGCTGCTTGTCTATAATTTTTAACTAATTTTTAATTTAGCCATTATTTCAAAACATATTTTTTCATTTGGCATATGGTAATAAAAAAAACTGTGAGTTGTAAAGATGTTATCAGTTATAAATTATAAAATATTCTGCAATATTTTTAGAAGTTTTTATAAATCTAGAATACGCAATAAAACCTTTGCATACTTTAAATCCAATTGAAGCAACTGCTAAGTGAATTAGAATCAAAAGAAGTTACAAACTGTTTTAATCAATATTTTAATAGATAATGTTTAAAAAAATGGGATTTAAACAAATAAAACTAAAATAAATAGAAAACAAAAGTGTTATAAATGTCTAGAACTAGATTCCACAACAGTTTTCATCCATACGACACATCAATGATTATATTAATTTGATATCGTGACCAATACTTCAAATATTCCTTATGGATTGACTCTCCGGCTTGTTCAGATACAAGTCCTAGTCCATAATCTGATTTTAATTCACAATTTTTTAATTCTTGAACACATTGCTCAATGTGTTCAAGAATTACGTGCATATTTAGAGTTTGCTAGAAACATTGTTTTAAAAACTAGCAGGTAATGAGATAAATTGTGAGAAACCTTTCTAGTTCCTAAACAAAATTTGACAACATTGTTCATTACTTTTAGCAATGAAACTAAAGGCAAAAACAATAACAGGCTAACTTTACCAAGAACATCAGCTTCAAGAAGTTTATCTGCATGTGAAGTAGCTTACGACATGCCTTGCCTTTAAAAACCTCACCCTAGACAAAAATTACGAATTAACTAATTTAAATGTTAATTAGTAAAAATTCTCTACCTTTTTTATATATTCTCACCTGGTAACTTTTTGAAATCAGTTTCAACTTTAAGGGCCATTGCATGGCTTTTTCTCTGCCTAAAAGTGGCAAAATTCCCTTCCAAAAGACATGATTGATGAATCCTTGTATTAAATGTATTTCAGGAAGAAGGCATTTAGCTATAACTAACATACAATCTGGTTCGTTAAAAAGTGGAAGTTTCAATGTGCTCATAGTGTTTATGGGCATCTCTTTTTTTATTCCTCCTAATAGCTGAAATCTAATAAAATATATACTAAACATATATTAATTGTTTCTTATTTAACAAGTGATAGTGCATTGATAACAGAAAATTATTTAAAACATGTTGTTTAATTTTAAAGATTTCAAAGAAATATAAATTGCAGTTTAGATCACATATATTTTCTTCCTCTTGTGTAATTAATCTTCGGAGTGACCGTAATTTAACATAGTAATATGGACAACAATTTGTTGAAGTGGATGTCTGCAGACCATTAACAAATTTAATTTAAAGTCAGCTACAAAAAAAAAAAAAAAAAAAAAAAGGAACCCTATCTAACCTAATTAGATTAAACAGTAGTTTCATGCTTTCATAAGATTCTTTAATTTGAGGTGCTATACAAAGCATTATTAATCTGTGAACACCTGTTAACTTTCGTATTTTGCTAGCTGTACCCCCTTCAGAATACAAGGATCTTTCTTTGTTAGGAAGGCTTAGTTTCTTCAACTTTTTGAACTCTTACGTTTCATCCTCGATTAATTCATGATTTAGCTCTGGGTGATAACTTTCTGGTAAAATTGTTGCATAGATTTTAAGAAAGCTCTGGCCTCCGTCACCCATTACCTAAATTAAGCAGGTTTAACTCTGAAAATTATATTACTAATTACAAATTAAATTTTAATTTAAATATAAAACACAATGATACCTTAATTTATACTTTTTCATTAATCTCTCTAGCTTTCACGGCATCCAAAATATCTTGTGAATCTGACCAACAAATCGTTATCTTTGCTTTCTCTTTAGATTCACCTTCTACATCAAGCATATTGTGTGTAACCAGATAAACTTTTCAAAGATTTAGATTTTTCTGATGCCTGCTCTCTCCCTCTCTCTCCCTGTGATAGGCAGGAACAGTCTTTTTACCTAATTGGATCTAATAAAATTTCTCCATCATACTTGAAGATACTCCAGTATTTACCTGAAAGTTATCCAAGCCTTTGCTTGAAAAGTTGACTTTTTTTTGGCTATATCAGGTTTTGAAAAGATTTGTGATTTGTATCTGCCTTTTAAATAAAGTTCAAACCAGATATTTTTTTTACTTGAATCTTTTAGATTATCTGCCTTAGATTTAAGGAATGAATTTATTAACTGGTCTTTTTCTTTTTCTGGTAAGGTTTTTTTGAAATTTTTTCAATATTTTCTGCTAATTTTGTTTGCTTGCAATAATGGAACAGTCTTTTTCCAATTTCTGATTTGCAATATGAACAAATGAATATTGAACTTACACCTTCATTACCAATAAGTTTTAAATAGAAATATCACTCTCTTTGTTTATTATTATATGTATATATAATTTCTGTCTAAGCTTATAATATTTACCTGAACAAGATTTTAAAGAGATCTTCCTAATTCCGGCAGCAGCAAGTAAATCTCCTCTATCAATAATATGTCTTCATAATTTGACATTTTAGGCAATTTTCTATTTTCAATATCTTTGTCGCACTCATTCAGTATTATTCTGCAGGTACCACATATATTAAGAGGATATTTGCTGTTTGTCAGAATCTAAATTTATATATATTTTAGTTTGTTCAGCTATCTTTTATGTGATTGCAAAATGCTGAGCCTTTTTTTTTTTTTTTTTTCCCACATAGTGCACACTATTTCACTCTAGATTCATTATGATTTGCTGATTCGTTGGGCAAATCCTAAGTATAATACTCAATACTTATCTTTAAAGACTTAATTTTCTAAAAAATAAAGAAGATGTCAAAGATAAAGACTATTATTTCTGTTTACAATTACTTGATAAAAGCTCAAAATTTTATTAATTTAATTCAATATAGTTCTTTTTAAAAACCAGAAATATACACAAATGATCTAGTTATTCTATCAAGTATTCAAACCAGACAGTGACGTTTTTAGTAAAAAATAATTGATTTGAAAGTTATTTTAAAATCTTAGACAAGCAGCTAGGATCTTAATTCTAACAGATTTGTGATGTAAAAAAAAAAGTTATTAAAGGATCTGGAAACAGTTTTTGTTGACATTTTTATCGATCTTGAATTTGTTAAGGGCTGTGTGTATACCAGAATGAATAATTTTTAAGTCAGTGTGTTTAAAACGGTGAGCA